TAGGTGTGTAAGATGTGCTGTAGGGGTTTTTGCATTGTGAAGACAGAATAATCAAAGGAAATTCCTTACACTAATCTGTGTCTTTTCTTTTAGGACAAATCAATTAGCACTAGTTTACCTGTCCTAGATTTAATAGATGCCATTGCACCAAGAGCAGTTCGTCCAGAAATGGTCAAGAGAGAAGATCTTTCTTACCAAGACAAAATGAACAATGCTAAGTAAGTTTTAAATGAATTATTTGTATTTTCCTAAAGTGCAAAAAATGCATGAATTCACAGTATAATGAATGATTTACTGATTTGTTAATAGAGATTAAACTAGCATTAGTTGATTTGTTTCAAATGGAATGTATTATAAATTCTAATATTCTAGAGCTATTTTTCTAGCATATTTAAAATATTAACTCAAATTCATGGCTGACATGAACCTACCACAACTCCAGTGCAATTAGTTTATTAATAGCCTGCCATAATCCATATTGGTTTTGGCAAAAATAAAAGCTTTGATAACAGGAGCAAAACATGTGCCAATATAATTGCTATATGTGCTATCTTCACAATAATGTCCATTAATTCTTGAGTGTAAATACTGACTGAACAGGTGTATTCTGCTATTAAAATGTGGTGTTGTTCTTGTGAATCTTGGCACACTAGTAGATGCAAGGAAAATAACAATATTTTCTATCATTTTCCAAGGTATGCCATTTCAGTTGCTCGAAAAATTGGTGCTCGTATATATGCTCTCCCAGATGATCTCGTTGAAGTGAAGCCAAAAATGGTGATGACAGTGTTTGCATGTTTGATGGGAAGAGGACTGAACAAAGTATAATAATGAAGAGATGTAATATAACTTTCTGCCATGTTAAGTATAATGAATGCCTCGCAGTTTACAGAGTTCTGAAGCTTAGTAGAAAACAAGAAAATTTGTATGCACAAGTATACTCAATAAGTTTTAATAATGTGTTTATATTAAAATTTTATTTGATTTCATAACATTGATTATTTATGGGTAATACTGTTTTCAGAACAGGTCCATTACCAAATTAACATCACAGATTTGTATTGCTTTTAAAAAAAAACAAAACAAACCAACACACCATCAAGCTTCATTCATACTAGTTTCCATAGCATTGTAAGAATCTGCAGCATCTTGCATATGTTATTTTGGGACCTATCGTGAAACGCTGTTTGATTTTCGTGGGTGTTACGTGTAGTCATACAAGTCTCAAGGTGCATTCCAATCATATTACTCCTAACTGCACAAGAGTTATCATCCTTGCCTTATTCTTCAAGAGCTTAACTCCTGTTGAAGGCAATGAGAGTCTTGCCATTGACTTCAATGAGAACAAGTGAAGGCCTATGGTAATGTCTGGCAACTAATGAATGTTGTTGAAGTTTATGAAATGTTTTTGTGGGAATAATCTTTAAATACATGTAGTAGTTTTGTTCTGTTACTGAGCAGAAGCTTTCATTGTGTATGTCTTAAGAAAACACAGCAAATAGTAAGCAGAAATGTAAACATGTCATTCTTGGGTCTTGCATATATGTTAGCTTTTTGCAGTTAGACTAAACATTTTTTTTAATTTTTCATAAAATATTGTATAAGAAAACAAAAAAGCACTGGCTAGTCCAGTTTGGGGTTTCACATTATAATGTATTGCATTTCCTTACAGATTGGTCTGTTGATTTTTTTTTTTTTTTTTTTTTTTCCCTAAAACATTTTCATGTGCAGAGGTTTTGTCTAGAAAGACTGGTGCGCTGTTTGAGTGAAATTAAGTCCATAATTATTTTCTTACTAATTTTAAAGTAAGTATTTGTACTCCTTTCTGTGCAGCCGTAAATTTTCACCAAATGTTTGGGAGCTGGATGTTTAATAAAGTTGTTACCAGAAGTCAAACAGTAAGAAAGAAAGAAAACTAAATTATTATTTTTTTTAAGCATGAAGCTGCTACTTTCTCAACTCCTGAAAACAGTCCTCAGTGTGACAAAATCCAAGAATCATGATGATGGAATGGTTAGGCTAAGCTTTACATCTTCGCTATCTTGCACAACATATGAACAGAAAGAAGATGCATCTATTTAGTTTCTATTATGTAATGGGATACTGGGAGCTGAGAGAATTAAGTGCTTTGATTTAGATCCATTTGTCCCTGTTTACTGGTTTGTATTGTCTGGACAAGAATAAATGATTAATATTTGATAGTTACTTGGCCTCCATTTCCTGTTCCAAATGATGATCAAGTGTATGGAATTTGAGTTCTTTGCCCTGATTCTGGAGACAAAGAATTCTAAGTGCTCATTCAAGATGGGCCAAATTTGAGGTTTACTTAATTTATTCTTACACTATAGAGATTATCTCTTTTTGAGCTATGCAGTTCTAAAGTACTGTATTTACCTTCCCGGGCACTCAGCAACTTACTTTGTAAGGGTCAGTATTTACTGTTGTGTAAACTATTGCTGTAGTGGTTTTGTTCCCTTTATGAAAAATATCTGCTACAATTATGGGACTCATTATTCTAGTCGAGAATGACTTTAACCTTACTTCGATTCGACTGAAATTGGTTTTCAAGGGCAACTATCTCTTGCTTCTCAGCATACAAGTTTGAGTTACAAGCTAAGAGTTACAGCTTGAAGGAGAAATGACAGCTCCCACCAGCTGGAAGGAGTTGTTAACCAAACACGATTTTTGTAAAGGAGATTCAAAAAAACAGCTGAAGTCAGTACACCTATGAGCTCTGTTTCTGTGCCTCTACATACTGCCAGATACACTAAGCTGGGGTGAGCAGGGCCGCAGGGGAGAAAAAGGGATCTCGGGGAAAATGCAGGAACGGGGCCGGTGGGGAGTTCGATGCTGGGGGCCGGCTGCGCTGTGTTCTCACCGCCCAGCTGCCTGGAGCGCCCTCCCCCTCACAGCGCCTGG